GCCAACTGGGGAGTGTATCAGTGCCCTCCTCTCTGTGCCTCTGCCTCTCTGTAACTCTGCCTTTCAAATAAATAAATAAATAAATTTAAAAAAACACACACACACAAAAATAAAATAAATCAGCTCCCTGCTAATACTCCTGGGAATGCAGTGGAGGATGCCCTGAATGCTTGGGAGACCTGGATAGAATTCCAGGCTTCCGGTTTAAAAAAAAATTCAATGGGAAAGGACATAGGACATATAGCTGTATTAATATTTCAATTAAGCTGAGAATTGCCTTAGAATTGAGAAGAGACTTAGTTCCACTCCTGACTTTTATAGAGGTATTTATGATGGAACAAAAAATGGAATTCTTTCTAAATTCTATTAATTCATAGCAGAATTAGGATTTGAAAGAAAGGATATTCAACTGAGACTTAAATTTTCTTTCTTGAATTCAAAAAGTGAGAGCTCCAGCAGCTTTGCAGCCCCAGAATCCTAACAAGTTTGTGTCAAGTAAGGAAGGAATACACAAGTTACAGATTTTGTGCCATACAAACAGGGGTAAGTGTGTGCTTCTGTAAGCAAGCAGGATAATGGAAACAGTCAACTTTAATTCAACTCAAATATCAGTATCAGGATGCATTCAAAGGCACTGAATGCCACTGGGATAAAGAGCTTGATAAGAGAAGATTATTAACTTCAAGGATTGTATAATATAAATATAATTACTATATAATATATATGTATTATATATAATAAATATATTTTATAATATATTATATAAAATATATAATGCTAACACAAGGCAGAATTTTTAATTAGGGCTACAGAAGAGCTTTGAGGTTCTCTCAGAACACAGAGGTCAAGCTTAATCACCGAAGAGACTAAGGCAGGCTTCACGTAGAAGATGATATTAACCAAGCTCTATTCAGAATGGAAGGGAAATCTGGAGACCCACTGTGCGTTGGGAGAGTAGATAGATTTTATGAGGACAGCATGAAGCAGACCAATGTAAGTAGACTGGAGCAACTCTGGGATCCTCCTTTTGGATGGAACAGATGTCCTGTGAGAAAAAAAATGAATGGTAGTGGCTGGGGTCAGGTGGTGGAGAAGCACTAACAAATCACGAGTCATTCACTACTGTTATGGTAGTTATGAAAACCACTGGCATGGTGAAGCTGAGATGAACAATGAGACGTGTGACTCGTATAGCTTCTCCACGTGCTATGTGTACGTTAGCCAGGTTGGCAATGCTACCATGAAATATGTGAGACAAGGAAAGGGAGGTGTATTTGGCTCACTGTTTTGAAGGTTCTAATAGACGCTGGACAGCCCCACTGATCTGGTCTCTGAGGAGATGGGGAGATGGCAGGGATGGAACATTTGTGCAGGAACAATCACATGATGTGTCAGGAAGCAGAAGAGCATGGCTAGGCTCAATTCAGTATTTTGCAACAACCTTCTTCAGCAAGAACTACTTGCCAAGGGCATGCTCCTAACAACCTAAGGACCTCCCACTAGACTCACCTCCTAAACACCATAACTGAATCAAATCTCCACCCTCTCAGCACCATTACCATGACTCAGGTTCAAAGTCCTTCCTGAGTTTATGGCAATGTGGTTCTAATCAGTAAGAGTACACACCTCAAAGCAAGTTGCATAAATTTGTCCTCTACATGAATCTCAAGAATTTATTCAAATCATTTGTTTCATACTTTCGTTAACTTTTCTTTGAAAGGCAGAAAGAGTGGGAGAGAGGAGAACAGAGTCAGAGATCTCCCAACTGCTGATTCACTCCCCTAATGCCCTCAACAGCCAGAGCTGGGGCAGGCCAAAGTGGGGAGTCAGGAGCTCGGTTAACATCTCCTATGTGGGTGGCAGGGGCCCAGCTGCTTGGCCCATCACTTGCAGCCTCTCAGGGTGCTCATTAGCAGGAAGCTAGAATCAGGACCAGAGCTAGGACTCAAACCCAGGGCACTCTGAATTTACCCATGTGGCACCTTAACCACTGTGCCAAACACCAGACACCAGAATAACTTTTATAACTATACACTTAAACTTAATAATCATTCGGAACATCCTTAAAGCCAAGAAGTTTCATTAGGAGAGAAGTCATGATTCCAATTGTTCTATTTGGCTTGTCACATTTGTTTCAACAGGAACTCTTGATCTCGATTGTTTATTTTGGTTTCATTTCTAGAATCCAGCACTTTGGGGCGGACTCTGTGCCACAACACATTGGTTGCCACTTGTAATGCTCTCAGCGCATATCAGAGAGCTGGTTTGGTTCCCAGCTACTCTGCTTCTTATCCAATTACCTGCTGATGTGCCTGGGAGGCTTCAGATAACGCCTCAGGTGCTTGGGTTCCTGCCACCCATGTGGGAGACCTAGATGGAGTGTCCAATTCCTGTCTTTGGCTGGGCTCAGCCTTAGCTATTGCAACCACTTGAATAGTGAACCAGTGGTGATTCTCTCTCTCTCTCTCTCTCTCTCTCTCCCTCTCTATCTCTCTCACATACACAGCCTTTCAAACACATTTTAAAAATCTTAAAAAACCATTTAAATATTAGTGAGATAGAGTAAAACATATATTGAAAACAAATTTTATCTTTTAGTCTATGTAAAAAATGTTCATAAGTAAGTCTTCACACTGCAGTATGTATTGCTTTTCAGCAAAGCATTGCTCAAAAATAAATATATTCACTTTTCCTTTGAATAGTAACGGGAAAATAGGAACTACAACCCCCTGCCCACTTCATTTCCTGTTGCATATCCCAGTCCAGGAGGCACTCAACAGAAACTCTAGAGGCAAACATATCAACAAGGGTTGTTAAGTTTTAGGGCACACCCTAAAATCTGAGTGCTTTGTGCTACAGCCATTGTAAGAAGGAATCTGTTTTCAGTTCTCATTTTCATTTCAGGATTCCTCAGTCATATGTCTTTTGGGAATTTACTTCACAATTCTTTCTCATTTCTAAAACATGAATATTCAAATGTACTCCATGACTTACAAAAGAGATGAGGCAGAGCCTCTGCTTATAGTCATGCTTGCACATCTCCAGGGGGTGTCATTTACCTCCTAGTTTGTAGAGCTGCATGTTTTCATGAGAGTTTTATGGAAGATGGCTGTAAGCATAAACACATGAAGGAAGATGCTAAGGCATGTGTGCTAGTGATAGAGCTGAAATACAATGTGAGAAAACACAGATTTCCAAAAAGACTTAACATTTCAAACTTAATCTAAATGCCATGAAAATTTCTAGGCTCTCATGGCCTGCCTCTACTATTAGTGTGGGTACCTCTATGGCCATCTTGGCTCTCATATTAATCCTTTATGTTAGCCTCGCCAAGTTCACAGCTTGGAGTTCTAGTTCCCTTGAATGTAAAATAAGGGAGTTGAAAGTATTTGAGTTTTTGAGGTATTTCTATAGTGTAAGTGAAAGATATAACTCCTGATTCCCTCACAAAATATTAAGGAGTAAGATGCATGGCATTACTTGATGAATGTTTAAAAGAAATCTTCCCAGAGAGAGAAAGGTTGTGATTCAATACACACAAAAACAATATTAGTGGTTTTGGAATAGTTTCAGAGGAGGGATGCATCTCTTTAAATTTGCTTTACTTTTTATATTAGCATAATTATAACTACTTATATAATAATGGAAAATCATAAAGTTAAAAACCTATAAGGGACTGGCATCGTAATGCAGCAGGTTAAACCGCAGCCTATAATGCTGGCATCTTATCCTAGCACCAGTTTGAGCTCTGGCTTCTCCATTTCTGATCCAGCTTCCTGCTAATGTGCCTGAGAAGGCAGTGGAAGATGGTCCAAGTGCTTGGGCTCCTGTACCCACGTGAGAGACCTGGATGAAGCCCCTGGCTTCTGGCTTTAGCCTGGCTCAGCCCCAGCTACTGTGGCCATTTGGGGATGAAAGATTCTCTCTCTGTCTCTCCTTCTCTGTAACTCTCCCTTTGAAATATAATAAATAAATCTTTAGAGACTGGTGCTGTGGCACAGTGAGTAAAGCTGCCACCTGCAGTGCATATGGGCATTGGTTTGAGTCTTTGCTGCTCCACTCCTGATCCAGTTCTCTACTATGGCCTGGGAAAGCAGCAGAAAATGGCCCAAGTCCTTGGGCCCCTGCATCCACATGGGAGACCTGGAGGAAGCTCCTGGCTCCTGGCTTTGGATCAGCCCAGCTCCTGCCATTGCAGGAGACCTCTCTCTTTCTCTGCCTCTGCCTCTCTGTAACTCTGCCTTTAAATTAGTACATAAAACTTTTAAAATAAATAAATAAATCTTTTAAAAATGTTAAGATATCTTTTGAAAAGAGAGACATCAAATTTTTTGAAGTAATTTAAAACTCTAATCTACAATTTCTGCATTAGTCTACTGTTTCAAAAATTCAGTGAATATATTTCCTAGAGACTATGAACATTCCACTTCTTGCTCAAAACACAATCCTGGGCCGAGTGCTTGGTATAGTATTGGAGATGCTACTTGGGACACTGCATCCCATTTTGGAGTGTCTGTCCCCACTTCTAATTCCAGATTATTTTTGATGTACACCCTGGGAGGCAGCTAGTGATGGCTTTACTACTTTGGTCCCTGTCATCTAAGTTCCTAGCTCCTGGCTTCAACCAGGCCCAGCCCCACTCTTAAAAGCATTTGAGGAATAATCAGAGAATGGAAGATCTTTCTCTCTGTCTATTTGTGACTACCTCTCTCTCTCTCTCCCTGTGTTTCAAATAAAATGAAAATAATAAATTAAAATTAAAAACTATAATCCTGCTCTGAGTGCTTCATAAGTTTATGTCACAGAAAGATTTATATTTTCAAATTCAAAAAGATATTGCTTTATGACATCTGATATACCACACATTAATCTAAGTCTTGATAAGTAAATGTAAATTTGATTTTCTTCCAAACTCAACATTTGGAAATGTGTGTTGTTTCTCCTTCGGAACACAGGGTCATTTAGAATTTAAATGGCTACATTGAAAGAAAGCTTACCTGGTCCAAACACATTTGCAGGATTCTGTTTGTCTGCTCTGGGCATTGCTCCAGCTGTTTTCATAAATGATAATAGAACAGGATATTAACTTTTACAGAAAGAGCTGTCTGCAACAGAGCTACAACATATCCAGTATAACAAGCCATCAAAGCCTCAAACTGGCCAACTCTGGTGGTACTTCGGATCTTTTCAATCTAGGCCTAATTAAATTAATTAACTAAATTGCAGCTCACTTCATTCCAGAAAAGGATTAAGGCAGCTTACATAAATAAATACTGTGTGGTTTTTTAAAAACACAGATTAGAAAATTAAATGATAAAATAATAAATATTCAGAGATGTCAAGAAGGCAGCTGCAATACTGATTTCTTGAAATGCAATTTCAGAGAAATAGACTGAGAAGTCCCACACATGTGGAATAATATTTAGTCAGAGATGAGCCGAGGTCACCTCAAAACAGCATTAAACAGAGAGAAGAACGTGGTCGTCTCCATCAGCCAGGCCTTGGACGCATCAACACTGGAAATCATATAGAGAAGGGGTTGCCATAAAGAAGAAGGGAGAGAGGGAAGAATGAGAAATGTGTTGTCATGGACGTCACAAAGGAAGTGCATCAAGGAGAAAGGGGCAGTTGGCCTGAAGACCTCAGAGAGGCCAGGGAATGTAAGAAATAATGATGGCCACTAGTAACCCTGACAAGAACAGGTTCAGGTAAGTAGTGGAGTCAGAAGCTCCATAGGAAATGATGAGTTGAGAACAGAAGGTGAAGATGCTAAAATAAAGATTATAGGCCAGAAAACTTGGGACTTCAAGCAGGATCAGACTGAGGTAGATGGCACCTCCATCAGATTAATAATTTGTGCCTCTGCACTGGTATCTCATGCATCCAACGTCTCCATAAGCAGCTCCCTCTTGCACTGCACTGGCCCCTCCCCCCGACTTGTGCAACAACTCTTCCTGGCCACAGACATGCACACCTCACACAGCTTCACCCCAGCCCTGTGGGCACTCAGTCATCTGGGGACTGTGTTCATATCAAGCGTGGCCAACAGCTGTTCACCCAATAGCTGATCAATGTTTCCCTTCCAGTCATATACTGTACTTTCCCCAAGTAGTTCAGTAAACACCATTGCCTTCCCATTTCTCAGGGATGTGTTAGTGACTCCAGCTAAGACTAGCACTTTGGGCAGTAACAGGGCTACCCAATCTCCAGTTCAGCTATCACAATCCTCACAACAGGAAGCTGAGGAAGTGTACCTAAGGCATGGACACTCTATTTTTGGTGGAAGAGAGGGAAGTCCCATTTCTTTTTATCTCTGCCACTTTCTGTTCTAGTCTTTAATATCTTCACATTATTTTACCCATGGCCACGATGATTTCATTCTGTCACTCATTTGGTGTGAGGATTCCCATCTTCATAGAAATTAGCCACTCACCACCCTCTTATTGCTAACATTTGCCATTTTTCTTCACTGAAGATTAATTTCAGGTCACTCTGTCATCCTTTCAGAGTTATAAAACAGCCAGCTTACCTCCGAACTTGCTGCAAGTTCTTCCCCAGATATGTAGTCCAGTTCCGATGGCAGCTGGTACTCAGGGAAAAAATACAGAAGGATCTCCCTAGGGAAATAAGCACAGCAGAAACAGCATGCCAGGACAACCGATGGACCAGTCTCCTGTCAGAACTGGGTTCCTGAGTAGCAAACACCCTGGCAAAGATGAACATTAATCCCCCTCAAATGCTTTTACCATTGTAAGGAAGACTGCAGAGGGGGTCATGGGTGTGGTTTTAAAAGGGCAACAAGGGGGACCCTTCTTGTGATGAAAATGTTCTGTGTTTTGACTGTCTGTGTCAATATCTTGGTTGTGATACTGTTCTGTAGTTTTGACAGATATTACAACCGGGAGGAACTGGGTAATGGGTTCAAGGGATGTCTGTATTATATTTTACAACTGTATATACATCTACATTTATCTCAAAATAAACTTTATGAAATAAAAGAGAAGGGGGAAGAAGGGGAGGGGAGAATACAGGAGAAGACAGAATATAGAGGAGAGGAGAGGAGAGGAGAGGAGAGGGAGGGGAGGGGAGGGAGGGGAGGGGAGTGAGGAGGAGGGGAGGAAGACCTTAAAGTGCCTACCAATGTACCAGTCCAGGAAAACCCTGCACTGCTTGAGTGTTCTGCAAAGAATTCAGGATCTCAAACCTCTTGGAAAAAGGCTGCCTGCAGGCTTACTGACTTTCTTTTTTCGCTGGAAAACCGAGGTTGAACTCTTCAGAACAATTCCTTTCATTAGGGCCCCCAGGAATCTTCTTAGAAATCATATATTAACCCTGTAACTCTTTCCAAAAGTGGTGGTCATGGTTCTGACAGGTACATCATTTTGCCAAAAGGCAGTAGTACCCACCCTTCTAATGTGACAGCTTTTTTAACCTTAGTCATCTAGATGACATTTCATACCTAGAAAATATGAAATTTAGAAACTTATAGCTATCACGTCTTAAAAATGCATAATGAATGTGCTCCAAGATCCTCATGGATATTTATAAAAAATTTAATTATAAAATAATACAATATATCAAAGATTAAACTGGTCTTTCTTAATTTAAATTCCTAATATTAGAAGTACAGTATTTGTATTACAAGGAGGTCCAAACCAAAAAGTTAAAATTCTTAGCATTACCCAAACAGCAAATTCTCTCTCTCTCTCCTCTCTCTCTCTCACTCCCTCTCTCTCCCTCTCCTCCACCTCTCCCTCCCCTGAGATTCTGTGCCTGGACAGTGAGATGAATTGAGTAGGAACGGGGTGAAGGGGTCTTCTAGGTATATGAAAGAAGAAACCAGATGGCACAGAAAGACTGGCTGCAGTGAGTCCTGGGAAAGGGGAGCCTGGTCAAACTTACGGCAAGTTCAGGTGGACACGAGGGGTGAGCAGTCTTCTACACCAACCATCTCTGCTTTTCTGAGTGTTTGTCCTTTCCATGGTGATTATAAATTCTTTTGTGTTTAGAGTTAGAGCAAATCAGCTACTGCCTAAATGTAACTATTAGATAACCAAGCAATAGACGGCAGTGGTATTTGTTGGGGAATGAGTGAGGGTTAACAGTCAGGTTGGAGAGACAAAGAATTTTAGATTAGTGTTTGATTATTCTTAACCTGTGGGAGACAGAATCTACTTCAGACATTATCTGTAAACCTAAACAATTTCTCAAACATGCACTATTATTTCTATAAATGGATAGGTACTATTTTAAATTCAAACATAATTTCATGTAAAGGCTTTACCTAAATCATAATAGTCTTTGTTATGTTATGCTTTCTCAGATATATCTTGAACCCCTACCAACACATAGCCTTTGTTCTGGGTCCTTCCAGAGCCTGGCATCATCCCCTACGCTAGGAGCCCAGTACTTTCTGGTGGTGCTGATTCAGCTCCTAGGGAATACAGACAAGGAAGGAGGATATTCCAATAAAGTGTGATACATGCTCAGAGGAGAATGAGAATGAAGCACCATGCATACCGAGAGCAGCGGCCCTAATTCATATACGGACTCAAACTAACAGCAGTTAGGCAAGTGTGGGGAATGGAGGCATGTGAAGGCTACCTGCACTATACACTGGCAAATTATCTCCTTAAAGTAAGATATCTGAGACCCCCTGAATCAGAGCTTCCTACTCATGAAGTTTCCAAAATACGCTAAGCACTGCTGTATGTTTTAAGTACATAACTTCATATAATCTGCGGAAGCTCTGATTGAGCAGTTACTCCTCTTTTGAGCCTTCTTGGTTTCCTGACCTTTAAGAACACCTTCACCATCAGGCCAGTCGGGTCCTTGTATTCTCCTTTTGCTATCTCCCTCCAGGCCACTCCAGCGTATTATGGCCTTTAAATCTCTTCTGCCTAGAGTTGTTGCTAACTAACATTTCCCATGGGGATACAGTCCAACAAGACTGACCAGAGAAGACAAAGTACTCGACAACTTCCATCTCCTAAATAGAAACATACATATATTTTTCTGTAAAACTAATTCAGGAAAACTATTAGATACTACTTAAGCAAAAACTCTCAGATACTAACATCACATACGATCTGACTGTAGATGTTTAAGAACGGTACAATTCTTGCTATTGTCTTGAGTTCCTTTCTTCAATGGTATATCTTACCAAACCTTGCTGTCAAACTGCAGGTTTCCTTTAGGACAGACACAGTGATTCTTTAATCTTTGAAAGACCCTTCAAAGGAGGTGGGCCAAGAGGCACACAGCACAAGACTATTGAAATTAATCAGTATTCATTCACTGCTACCTGTGAGTTAAGCAAATGCCATGTATTTTGGGGCCGGGGGGGGGGGGGGCTCCAGAACCAAGTGCTGTCATTTCAATGAGACTCTTGTCCCTCATAGGAACAGCCTCTTCCTTGATGTATTTACTCACAATTTTCCTCCCAGATATGACAACAAAATTCGGAATTTGACTTTAACATTATCTCTCATCTTAAGAATTTAAGAGTAAGTATCTTTGAGATCTCTTCCACAGTTATTACTCAGATCCTTGACCTTAGCTATAATGAACATATCAGATGACTGTTTACAGAACCCATATTCACATCTGCAGGTTATAATTGAAAACATTTTTTAGAATTGATTTATTTGCAAGGCAGAGAAACATGCAGAGAGAGAGAGCAAGCTCCAATTTACTGGTTTGCACTCTAAATGCTCACAATGGTTTGGACAGGGCCAGGGCTGAAGCAAGGAGCCCGAATACAATCCAGGTCTTCCATGTGAGTGGCAGAAACCCAATTACTTGAGCCATCATTTCTGACATCACTTCTGACATCTGACATTACTTCTCTCCTGTGATATGGGAGAGAAACAGGACTCAAGCCCCTCCTTACCTGACATGTAGCTATCTCCTAATCTGACTCTGCAACCACACAGCGCCAAACCAATCTAAAGTATAAGTGCTCACACCTTAACTGAAGAGCCCTCCAATATTCCATTAATGACTTCCCCAGCCTGTGTACATGTCCAGGATAGCAAAATATGCATGATATTCAGCCTTCCTAGAGAGGTGGTAGTGAGCATCATTGCCATTTTGAGCACGTTATCAGCAAAATAAGAAACTGCCTGTGCAGAACCGCAAGCTGGGTGCACCTCAAAGTGCCCTGTGCCAAATGGGAACCACCACACTTCCCCAGCAGATTAAAAACCCTTGCCCAGCCCCTCGCTCCTCTCCCTAAGCCAATCAGCAGAACCATCCCGTCTCTCCTACACTTGAGCATAAGCCCCCATTAAACCTTGTCTGGGTTGCACACTGGCCTCTTGTTAACTTCTATCACAAGAGAAGCAAAGAACCTTAGGTTGGTATCACCAGGGTTTGGCAGGAAGCTGTGGTCAGAAGCTACAGCTGGGAATTGAATCTGAGTTCTCAATACAATTTAAACAATAGCCTACTTAATTGGCTTAGTCTCACCTAAGAGAAAAAGGCATCTACTTGAGGTTGACTAAAACTCTTCTTCAAGCTAGTGAAAATTAAGGTGAAGTAGAAATAGTATGGCTCTATTTTCCTAAACTAGGAAACTAAAGTGGCTTTCTTTGAAACTTCTTTTTGGTATTTTTAAAATTTAAGAGGGAGCAGCTGTTGTGGCACAGCATATTTAAGCTGGTGCTTGGGACAACTGGACCCCACACCAGAGTGCTGGTTCAAGTCCCAGCTTCAAACCTCAGCCACTTCCTAACCACTTTCCTGCTAAGGCACATTCTGGAAACAAATGATGGCTCAATTATTGGGTTCCTGTGAACCAAGTGAGAATCCTAGACAGAATTCTGGACTCTTGGCCTCAGCCTGGCCAACCTAGGCTATTGTAAACATTTGCCTTGTGAATAAACATATGGGAAATCAATCTCTCTCTCTCTCTCTCTCGTCTTTCTCTCTCTCTCTCTCTCTCTGCCCCTTCCTCACTCCCCTTCCAAACAAATAAATGAATCTTTTTTTAATAAATGAATCTTTAAAAAACTGAGACATAGCAGATTAAGCTGTCACCTGCAATACTGGCATCCCAAATGGGCTGCAGTTCATATCCTGGCTGCCTCACTTCTGATTCAGCTGCCTGCTAATGTGCCTGGGAAAGCAACAGAAAACGGCCATGTACTTGGGCCCCTGCATGCATGAGATGCCCCTGGCTTCAGCCTGGCCAAGTCTTGGCCGTGTGACTATTTGGATAATTAACCAGCAGATGGAAGACCTCTGGCTCTCTCTCTGTCTCTCCCTCTTTCTCTGTAACTTGGCCTTTCAAATAAATAAATAAATGATCTCTATAAAAATAAATTTTAAAAATTAAATAAGATTTAAGAGAACGTAAAGCGAGTGTGTGCTTCTATAGAATTGAAATGAGTGAAGTCTGCTTTTTTATCACATGTTACAACACATCAATGAACTGAAGCAAGGCATTACGATTTAGCAGTTAAGAGCAAGGACTGTGAGATCAGAATGTCAGGACTGCCAGACTGTGTTTATATAATGCTGAGCAAGTTGCTTGAACTTTATACATAGCATTTTCTTGTCTCCATCTGTAGAATGGGAACAGTAAAAATATCAATTCATAGGATTATAATAAAGCTTCAGAGTGATAACATATGAAAAGGCTTTAGTAGTGGTACATAGTAAGTAAGTGTATAACAAATACATACTGTTGTCATTACCACTGTTGTTATTCAAAGTGGTTTGAAATTTGGCATTAAAGCAATGTTTAGGGCCACATGGTAAAACCGAATACCCTGGATCCTGGTTCATCTTACTTAGCTCTAGCTTAACGCGACTGAATTTCACCCTATTACTTGAAAATGTTTTAATGTTTGGCAATACTATCCACTGATTTTTACATATCTCTTTCGATGCAATTAAAAATAATCTTTTGGAGTGGACATTTGGTTTAATGGTTTTTGCCTTTTTGGGATACCCTCACCCCATCACAGAGTGCCTGGTTTGAGTACTGGTTCTGCTTCTGATCCAGTTTCCCAGTAATGTACACACTGGGAGGCAGAAGGTAATGGCTCAAGTACTTGAGCTCCTGGCACAAATAGGGGGGACTTGGATGGATTTCTTGGTTCTTGGCTTCAGCCTGACCTAGACTTGGCTGCTGGGGCAATTACAGAACTAATAAACAGACTCTCTCTCTTCCTAATAAAATGAAAATAAATTAAAATGTTTTTAAAATTTTAAAGTAGTGCTTGAATATGTATGAGTATATGTTAGATATGGCATAAGAAACTTAATCTATTACTATTTTATTTAACATGTAATAATCCAATATGCTTTCAAAATTATTCTATTTGAAGATTGCAAAAACTAATATACATAAATGTTATACTGAACATAACATGTAATAGAAATGGACACTTCTAATTAATTTATTCAGTATGCATTAATCAAACAGAGATGGTTGACCCAATTTTGGCAGTGTAGAAATGGATGAGGAGGATTCCAGGTCCAAAGAGAACCAAGTAGAGTGAATAGTCTATAAGATAGCACTTTTTCATGTATGCTTGTCATGTGACAAATAAAAGATATATAGAGAGTAGAAGGAGCATTGTATCCAAAGCACCATATGTAACCAGCCACAATCTGTATGTCATGAGGAGTCTGAAGTCTAGTTAACTCAAGGAATAACATGTGGTTCAGATATAAAGTACTGCAGCCTACAAGAAATCTGTTTCCATGGGTGAAATGGGAGAAAATATACTGCATGTTGCTGAAGGCAGAGAGAAATTTGGTCAAATGAAGAGCTCTTTTTGTTCCAGTTAGAAGTTTTGTATTGTGTACAACTTTTTTATCACAGCATATTTTTTATAAAACAATCACCACATAAAATTTAAGCTAGTACAGAATAGAGCTGATAGATGAACACAGTCAGCTTTCAAAGTGCTCAGTTGATAAGAGCGTGATGATTCTAAGCACTACAGGGTCTATTAGGGATGGGCTTTGGAAAATTTTAATGTTCGATTATGACTAATGAAACAAGTGGATGCACTTTAAAGTCTTTGATCACTCAATCAGATTATTCCTTTTTGATCACATATTACTCATTAAAATACACAGAAATGCTACACTTGGACAAACAAGAAAATTTAGCCAAGTAAAAAATAAGGAAAATTACAAATCACAAAAAGAAAGCTTATCTAACTGTGAAAGAAAGCTAAGCATTCGTACAAACTGCTATGACACTCTCCGATGGGTCTCTCCAGGTCACACATTGTGCAGAGGAGGGAAATGTGTATACACATAAAATGGTGACTTGGAGCATGGCAGGCCAAAGCAGGGAGGTCTGGGCTTAAACTCCATTCCTTTCTTAGTCGCTGCATAATTATCCACACAACTTTAAATATGTTAATTAAGGATCTATAAACTACAGTTTCCTTATGCATTAACAATACATAAAAATAGTATTGGTCTTATAAGTTTATGGGAATAAGGAATAAGTTTATAAAAATATGGTGCTGGTACTTCAGCATAGAAGATTAAACAGCTGCCTGCAGTACTGGCATCCCATATGACCTTGAGTTTGTGTCCTGGCTGCTCCACTTCCCATCCAGCTCCCTGCAATTGTGCCTGGGGAGGCAGTGGAAGATGGCCCAGGTCCATGAGCCCCTGCCACCCATGTGGGAGACCTGGAAGAAGATCCTGGTTTCTAATGCTGGCCTGGCCCATCCCCAGCTGTTGTGGCCATTTTGGGAGGAACCAACGTATGGAAGATCTCTCTCTCTCTCTCGCTCTCTCTCTCTGTGTCTCTCTCTCTCTCTCTCCCCCTCCCTCCCTCCCTCCTTCTCTTCCTCTCAAATACATAAATCTTAAAAAAAAAAAAACAAGTTCATAAAAAATACTTGAGTGTGGCCAGCATCATGGCATAGCTGGTAGAGCCACAGCCTGTGAGGCTGGTATCCCACATGGGTGCCGGTTCGTGTTCCGGCTTCTCCACTTCTGACTCAGCTCCTTGCTAATGGCCTGAGAAAAGCAACAAAGATGGCCATAGTGTTTGGGTCATTGGCACCCATGTGGGAGACCCAGATGAAACTCTCAGCTCCTGATTTCAGCACTGGCCCTTGCAGCCCTCTAGGGAGTGAACCAGTGTATAGAGAATCTCTCTTTGTTTCTCCCTATCTCTCTCTCTCTGTAACTCTTTCAATGTAAATCAATAAATCTTTAAAAATAATTGAATGAATTTCAAAGACATAATAAAGTTTCAAAAATGATAGCTGTATTAAATCAAGAAGAAACTGTTGACCTGTAGTAATGTTCCAATCATTGGATATGTGATTATATTCATATACTTTAATGATATTCACACATTTAATCAGGTATATAGGGGTGCATTCATACATAATTTATTGCATACTACCATGCTTTGGTGACCAACTTTTTCCTTTTAATTTTTATTAATATAAAAATAATAGATTTCATGCATTTCACAGGGACAATTCTAAGAAGATAACCGTCTCACTTTTCCCTGCCTCAAGCCCCTGAATCTTAGAACCAGTAAATAATAAAACAAAATTCAAATTTATGGCTATCCAACTTAAGAGCTGAAGAGCTTAAATATTACTTCTAGAAAAAAACACTAACACAGGGTAAGAAACTAGTTGGAGAAACCCATCTTTTGGGGCTATATTATATCCCACAGACAGTATGATATACATTCATCTGGACTATTGGATAAGTGACCTTTCTCAACCTCCTAATATCCTAAGAGTTGTGTAACACTGAAGTATGGCCCAGTTTGTCCCATTGCCAGGCTAGAGTAAGCTTGCCAACCAAGACATAAAGGCAGATTTGCTGGGTCAGAATTTGATGTTCAGGAATGCAATCCTCTGGTTTCAGTGCCACATAATCAACTTGTCCCTAAATTCCTTAGTGTCATTTATGAAAATGGGTCCTGATGCAACATTAACGTCAATCTACCTTCATGACAATATAACGGAATGAGTCCTCTTTCCTGGGGAAGAACTGAAGTTACGCATGAGTCCTAAAGAACGGCAAGTGGGGCCTTCATGCCCATGGCAGTGTATCCCTGCATCCCTGGATACTGCTGCACAGACTTCTGGCAACTCCAGGACAGCTGCAAGTTGAAGCTCATGTCTACGGTAGAGAGCAGTCTCCCTTCGGGACCAGGGCTTGGTGCCAGAGTAGAGTAGAGGCTGTGGTCTTTTATACACATGGCAACCTCCACCTTTCCCCGTCCTCCTTCCTGACTCTACACTTGGAGAGCTCACTCTCATCTCCTGGAAGATTCCTGTCAGTCACTGGTGGGAACTTCAAGGCTACTGTCCTGAGGGAAAGAATCATTCCAGTTAGGGCCTGTTGTGTGCTCTCCTTGGCTCAGACTCTTACCCCCACAGACTCCTCAAAGCCCAGCCAAAGTCTGTGAGCCTCCACAAAGTCAAGGAGGTACACAATTAGGTGGTGACATGGTTGGTTTCCACCTTTACCTTCCTACATGATGCCCACTTTGAAACACTCTGGATACAGAATTCTTTCACTGGTAAAGGGCTCTCCTCTGACCGGACCCTGTTTGGAAAAGCCCTGAATCCTGGACTTCACCTCTTCCCTGAGGTAACCTGGGAACTGGGAGAACTAGGTTTTAAAATTCTTCAAATAACCAATGTCTAAAATGTTAACCTCCACCGGCAAAAAGGAAAACTCTGCTTCCTTCAAGAAGTTCAGTATCTGCAACAACCAAAAAAGACTTTTGAAAAGGCCATGCAAATACCAGGAAAGTCTTAAAAAGGAAAAATAAAAGGAAAATTCAGTAATAATCCTCTAGTACATCCAAAAAAGGACCAACATCCACTATATTGCCAGCCACACAGGAGATGGCAGTTGGTAACTACAGTTCTATTTCAAGGGACCTTTAACCCATGGCATATCTAAAACAGCACAGCTAGAAGGCAAAGCACAAAGTCACTCCACTGAATTGACTTAATAACATTGCTATTTAGTCAGTTGTTACTGCTTAGAAAGGTCAATAAAGCATGTGGAAGCACATTAATATATATCTTTACCTTAAATTAGACATCAGTTTTCTCACTGTTTCTTTGATAGATGTGCTTTGAGAAGACACTGTCAGCAAAGAAATGGTTTTCCAACCATCACTGGCTTTGTGTCCAGAAGTTGGACTGAAGTCTTCCACTGGCACACTGAGCAAGCTAAGAGTTATAATTTTAAAAGTAGGAGCCACATTAGATACCAGTAAGTTCAGAAACATTAATATACTCATAAAACAAATGAAACAGTAATGCACAAAAACTAAGGACATAAACACAACACTGAAAATTCCCACGTATATAGTTATATAAAACCAATTCTTAATTAGAGAATTGCTATTTATTATTGTCATGTATTGCTCCAAGGTTTTTGAATAGCCACAATTAAATATAATAGGTGATAATTTATTCTTAACAGTAGTCATGTACCATTTTCCCCTTACTTGCTGAAAGAAATTTTTAAGCTAATGTTCTATTTTAGTCTAGGAGAAATGCTCACAAATAAAAAAAGGGACGGAGTCAGTTGAGAGAAATATTCAGTCAACACCTGGAGGAAGAACAAGTGTGATGATCCTGGGGTAGAAAGAACAGGGCTGTTCAAAGAAGAGTGAGAAATTCAGAGCTGTTGGGACAGGGTAAATGGGAAGGAAAGGGTGATAGAAGTCAGGTGGATGGATCACAGATGGCCATAGAGAGAAAACTAGAGTCCTTCAATGCAGTGGGCCCTGTCATTGGATGTTTTCATGCATGGGAGCAAGGTGGATCTGATACAAGTGTTAAAAGGGTATCTGATTGCATCATAGAAAATGACTCTCAGTAAGAATGCAAAGCTTTCAGTATTGTGGGAACAAAATGTACAAGGGGATTGAAAGTGGTATAAAATGGGAGACCAAGCTGGTAGGTAGGTGGGGATCAGATCTTGGAGAGCTTTACTGGTCAAATAATAAGGACATTCTTGACATCCTTTCATGCTGACATCCATAAGCAAGATCACCACTAGAGAGAGTTTTCATATTTGTACTGTGAGGGCCCTTTAAAATCGGATAACAGTTTATATCAAATGAAATCTACTTCTACTGTCAACAGTTCTTTGGCATTAATCATACAAACTCTGGCTGATTTTTTGAAGATTAAGAACATTATATAAACTAATGCTTAATTGTCTGTTAAAGAATACTTACATTATATCTGAATGCTCATTAATTATAACCTCATTTATGCCTTTATGCTGAAATTTTACTAAGTCCTTTTAACCATTTAGAGATGCTGGAAATTCGTGCTAGTACTGGGAGTGGAGGGAACATGCGAATCCTCAGAGCACGGGTGATTCCTCTCTGAACCTCTATTCTTCTGTCTAATGTCAAATAATAATAGGACATACCTCAAGCAACTGTACTAATTGAACTAACTGAACAAGATATACAAAGAATTTAGTTCAATGTTTATTAGGCACTCAGTATACAATGAGTAATAATTATTGTAATGATTATCCTTGTCATTACTGCCACTAGCAATGTATTTGATGTATTTGTTTTAGTTGGATCACAGTTCTAACATTCATATTGTATTTATGAGTTAACAGTGATTAAAAAGAAACCTCAGAATTTCATAAAGACCTGAAAGCAATAAATGAAATAATATACATACATACATGTGTTTTAAGTTTTTATATGGATCTTAACATTTAATTGCAATTTTAATACATAATTCTAGGTTAAAATACTGGTCATGAGCAGTAATAGCACCGGGGGGAAAATCACATCATTTCTTCAATCAACAAACACCACTGAGTGCTGTTCTGGATACCAGGGTCACGGAGGTGAACAAGGCAGTAACTGCTATCATGAAGTAGTTTAGCTTCTAGTGGAAAATAGAGAAAGGTAGAATGAAGAATGGTAAAAGAAACAGATGAGTAAGTAAGATACTTTAAAAAGCAAAACAGGATGATTTGATGGTGAGAGTATGACTTGTAAGAACTGGGTGGACTGTTTTAGATGGAGCTGTCAGGAAAGACCTTTCAGAGGTATAGAGTTATAAAGACAAAACAAGACTTAAGGAGCTTACACGCAATGGGAAGAGAGTCAGACAATTCCATTTGACTATAAATTGTTGCTCACCATTGTGTATCTGAACATGGTTGGTTGATATTTAACAAATAATTATTAAAGGTAAGCAATTAAAAGAAAGTCTGGTCACTGTGATAGAGGCTTTCTGAATTCTTCAGTTTGCCTGGGAGAGTCAGGGAGACCCCAAAGAAGAGAACACTTGAACTGAGTCTTGAATGTACGGGCAATCGACACTGATATACAAGTTGCAGAGTGCATGTAAGTAAAGAAGGGAGCACAGACCCAGAGACAGAGGAAATGATAACAACAGAACTGAAAGTAATCTGGAACCTCTCAGAAGCCAAGTGGGTGCTGAAAGGAGAGGCAGGAGTGAAGGGGATTGTCCAAACTAAAGATTTTGTAACTTGCCTTAAAAGTGATAGTGACCATGAAAGACTTTTGATTAGAACAGTGAAGTGATGGGGTTTGGGTGTTGGAGTGCCTGACCACTCTCCACCAGCAAGTCTGGGACACCTAAAGCCTCCTTCCTCCACCTTTGTTTTTTCCTTGCCCTTAATTCAATGTGCTCCTATGGAAAAAGGATTTAAATTCAGAGCATAGGATTTGGATTCAGAGAAATGCAATCCGAATTCCTGGAAAGCAGTTTAGATAGGTTTGTAGTAGAGCACAAGAGGTTGTTCCCTTGAAAACATTCTTTTGAGTCTACTGAATGGCCAAAATACTGAGCTGATTTTATTTTAAAAGTGGCAAAATTCTCATGTCAAGAAAATTACAGCAAGAAATGATTACTTTACATGTATGTCTGACAATAATGAGACTCACAGGAAAAAAACTGGTCATGATTTCACAGTCATACTTTATGTGTGACATTTTTAGTTCATTGATGACATTAAAGTCATTTGAATTGGTCACTTGCTGTGGGTAGGAAGTTAATCCTGCTCCATTTTATTGTTCAGAAATTCTCACAAAGGAAAGGAAAATGTTCATTGAAAAGGTGCATTTCTAGTGTTTTGTCTCTGTTGTAAAATTTCATTCCATTCTTAACAGCCCTTGTTGCTATTATTTTCTTTCTTCTTGTATTTAAACATTGATAATTACTTTTCAACAATATAACTGCACTCACTTGGGATTTGTATAATTACAGTCCACTCACCTTTGCTGGTTAGATAATGAAGAGTTTCCTTTTATTTCTGGAGCGTCATTATACAGCTCTTGTTTTTCTTCAAAAGAACATAGACAAAATGAAGACAAACATTTTAATATTCACATAATAATTTGCTCCAGAATAAATGTTCGCTGTATAACTACCTGTTTGATATGGATTTGTACTCAAACCTTCATTTGTAAAACTGAACCAATTTTAAGGCAATTTACAATATATTCTAAACATAAAAATAATCTTTTACATTTTAATTAAGTGTATGTAGTGTATATAATAATCCAAAAGCCTTTATAACTTGTGGTTTTTTTCCTCTTTTGGTAATTTTTAGCTGCCATTTATTACCAATGTATGAATGGTCAGGATTGTTCAGATTGCCCACTCTCACCAGCCTTTGCCAGGGCAATCAACTGTCTTCCCTCTAGCATGTTATTGTCTCCATTTTGGGTTCAGATTCGAAGACATTCAGACAGATCCCATTCAAAAACATGTCTCCAGTAGAGAGAAGAACTCTAGGGCAGGAAGAGTCCTGAGCATTAAATTGGTTTTCATCCTCAGAAATCTCAGAATTACAGAATCAGAGAAGATAATTATTTGTCTTCAGTTCACAGTAAAGCAGCAACTGTATGATCCCTATGAATTGTTTTTGAGTATTGTGGGGACAGTATAAGCAATAAGTCACAATGTGTTCTTCCATTGACCTGTAGAATTCTTTGTTATAACTGCCCTGATATCTTCTTTCACTAAGTAAGTCTTTCTCAACATATTGAAGGCCAAGTAAAACAGTGTGGCAACAAGGAAAGTTTTAGGTTAGGGTAAATGGCTAAGGATATGCCTCACTCCTTTAAGGAAATTTAGAAAAAAGAATGGATGGACAGAGGTTTTCCAAGCACACTGCAGGCATCAGTGGTTTTACTCACTGACTTGAATATCAAATGAAATTTTTAACCCAACAGCCCACTAATCCATAATCACAGTTATTTAAAAATATTTCACAATTTGTTCCTGGCAAATCCAAGATGAATATTTGAAATTAAATACTAATTTTAAGATCAAAATTATATTGACAATTTTCCCATTGCAATTTGGAAATCAAACAGGACCATACTTGAGGGCACAATAATAGTTTGAAATGTCTGTGAAAGAACAGCTTTAAAATTAAGAGACTTGTTCAAAAGAAATCTTGATGGTGGTATCACAAATTATTCTAATTAAGATAAAAAAGAAAAAAGTGTGATTTCTTAGGGGCTGCACTAATAGAGTCAAGCATAGAATTGTGGATAAATAGCTGCTCAGGCTACATGAGCAATAAAGTACGAAGGCAGGAAGAACTTACCACCAAAAGTGAACCAAAAAATAATGACTTGGATTGACTCAAAAAAGGACTGGGCATGATGGAGCCAAATTAGCTGAAATTTGCTAAGGAGACTAAGAATAGCTTTAAAATTTATTTCAGAATAAGAGAATGACAATGAAAATAATGGATGTGCGGCTTGGGCCCAATGGCGAAAGGTATAATAATCATGATATTGTAAAACAATCATGATATTCTAAAAATAATAAAAGTCACAACAATCAGTAGATACCAGGAAAACAAAACACTTTACATCCAGTTTGTTTCCAGCTTTTTGATCCAAGGAAATTATTTCTGAATTGAGTATTATAAGATGGCAGGGTTTGGTCTTGTGGTATAATAGGTAAAGCTGCTGCCTGCAACTCTGACACCCCACATGGGCACGAGTTTATGTCCCGGCTGCTCCACTTATGATCCAGATCCTGTTAATGGTCTGAGAAAAGCAGTAGAGGATGTCCCAAGTACTTGACCTTCTGTCTCACACACTGGGGATCGGATGAAGCTCCTGGCTAGGCTTCAGCCTGGCCCAGTGCTGGCTATTGCCACCATCTGGGGAGCAAAGCAGCAGATGGAAAGTATCTCTACTCCCCGCCTCAATCTCTCTCTCTCCCTCTCTGTAACTTTGACTTTCAAAATAAATAAATAAATAAATCTTAAAAAAAAATAAAAAAATTTAAGACAGCAACTTTATGCTTTAAAACTAGTCCAAGTCTTTCACCTGAGATATGATATCCCACGGACATGAAGGAACCTATCAGAGCATTTGCTGAACTACTCTTAGAAATCTAAGAGGAACTGAAAAAAAAAAATGGGAAAGGGATTAATAGGCTTAAAACAGGGAAATGTTGTTATGGGTTTGAAAAGAGATTCTGAAAATTTTAGATCTGATACCCTCAGTAAAACTCTAGACAGTATTCAAGTGGGAGAGTGACAAAAGTCTTCGAGAATTTCAGACACAGTAGCAGTCTTAGAGGCACTATTCTCCATCAGGAAAAATCTTTCTGCCCTGTCCAAACACATGAGTTGGCAACTCACCCTCTCTCTCTCTCTCTCCTCCTCCCACTTCTGGAACAACACACTTAAAAAAAAAAATCCAGACTGCTAGCAAACTTCTGATCCATACCTCAGGCTGTCACATAACCATATTAAAAATGCCTCAAATATTACAGCTAATATACATAACTTCAATGCTTTTGTGTTTACCTTTGTTTATAAGAGGAAGTTCCTTTTTTTCTTGCTTCAGTGAAACATCAGTGTCACTTTCATTTAAAACCTGAAAAACAAGATATTTCTTTAAAACTGTACAAAACACAGTGCCCATTATAAGCTGAGCAAAGACCTTCAAGAGCAGTGCCCACATCAGTGGAAAGAGATCATAACATTACCAGTGGCAGAGTTACTGTGTATGATGAAAGCAGAGAAGGGAACAAGCTGTACATACAGCTCAAGGATGACTGCATCATTTCTGTCATGTTTACTCCTATCATTTCTTTAAAGGGATTTTTACGTTTCTATCAATATTTGTACAGATATTTTAAAAACCAATGTTCTTACATGGCTGTAACAATGTCTCCAACTAATTAGTCAAGTCTTGGATTCCCCAGGAACCACCATGGAGCCTCCAGTCTCCTGAAGGAGCTGATCATCCCTGATTGTTGCAAGGGTTTGCAGAGAGGCAGTTAACATCAGTGCAATGAGAGCTTTGGGGAGGTGGGATCTGGGCCCTGAAGCATGATGGGTCAGAGAATGCAGAGAAGGATGAGTTTACTTGGAGTATTGGAGGACAGGACATCTCTTCCCACATAATCCTAGGGACACTGCATAAAAGTGGCTATGGAGCCTTAATGCATGGAATGCAGGAGCCAGGAATGCTGGTGGCACCTGCAGCAAGGGGGTGTGCATGTGAGATACAGGACTTGGGGTCGGGGCAAAGAGGGTGGAGGCAGTGGGAGGTGTGCTGTCACTTTGGGAGTCCTGAAAACTCATTTTATAAAGCTCACATGAAAGAACATAAAAGAAACTCACACTGTGGGAACATGCTTCTTTTTTTTCTTCTTAATGTTTATTGCAATACAGTATACATACCAGAAAATGCACATATATATACAGATAAATGAATTTTTTGTCATCTGACCACACTCATAACACCCAAATTAAGAACAAAGAAATGTAGGGACTGCGCTGTGGCATAGCAGGTTAAGCCGCTACCTGCAGTACTGGTATCCCATATGGGTGCCAGTTCAAGTCCTAATGGGGGAAGGAGGGAGGGAGGAAGGGAGGGAGAGAGAGAGAGAGAGAGAGAAATGTGTGTTTCTACCCTTCAGGAAAGGGACCCCACATGCTCCCTTGGTGTATTATGTAAAATGGCAAGAAGGTAGAAGATGGGATGAAAAAAAAAAAAATGGAGAAGTAAGGTCTAAGGCAAAAGCTCCGGTCTGCTGCTTGATCCTGAAAACAGGCCAAAACACAACCATGTCCTTCATCTCTCTCTCCGGTGTAAGGTGAGTTGTCACCTTTTATAAGCATTCTCATGCTCATCCCTCATCCTTCACCTTTCAGGCCCCCATAACCTGCTAAACAAACATAGTACGGACAGGATGTCAACACTCCCCCCCGCCCCCGGGAAACAAAAGGCATATTTTTATATAGCATTCTGGAAACTGTGCTCCATCAGACAGAAGGTTAAATGGGCACACATGTAGCCTAGCAACAGAGCAACTGTGAAGCTATCTATCATTGCTATGTTCTATTTCACCCAAATCAAAAGAAAAAAAAAAAAGCCTTGTGGGTATGAGATAATAAAACCACTTGTAAGCTACTTCTGTCTTTTTCAAAGTATGTTATATTGTAAGTGCATGCTCCAAGAAGTAATCAAAATTCATACTTCATAAAATTTAGTTTTCTGATGTGCAGATACATAATGAAAGTCTATATGATATTGTGTCTTCAATTTTGTACTAAATATTTTTGACTAGTTATTAAGCAGGATAGATTATTTTCCACATGATTTAATAGTGACCACAAAATACATTTATGAAAGGAACTACTTAATGCCTTTTTTATAACCATTTTGTAATAATCCATGATGATCCTATGTAAGATTTCTTGATTTTCTTTTCTAACTTCTTATGTAATCAGAAGAGATGAAATTATCCAAGATTTAAAAAAAAATGAGAATGCTCCAAGCAGAGAACTTTTGTTGTGTTTTCAACAGAGTCTCATGAAATTAATTATTTTTGCATCCTATTATTTAGTTCTTTGCTTTGAGTTCTGCCTTGCAGGTGTTTCCATTAGTATTAGATAAAGTCCCGCATCCCCAAAATTGTACAAAGCTTTACCATTTCAATTGCAAGAGATACTTCTTTTTATTTTCTGTATTTGCTTCTTTGGATTGAAAGCACATGCAGGTTCAAATGATTTTTGGATAAGCTGTTTTTATCCTACATGATTTCCTTTAAATAGTGTTTAAACAATGTTGTATAAGTATTATAGGACGTTTCCTTCTAGACCATTGAAGTTGTAGCTTTTAGGGTCTGAATTTTTTCAAACTGATACAAGACACAGAGTTCTCCTTTCAATGACATTGTTTGTATATTTTGGTCCATCTGACACAGCTTTCTTCCATACATTAACTCATTTCATTATGAAATTCTTCTTCAGCTAAGGCTCAACTGTGTTTCATTCTCTGCAGTTCGGGGATATCTCTTTTGTAAGATTTTGTATCTAAATCATGAAACTGATAGCACCTCCCACACTGTAAATGAGATTATAGTTAAGTCTTAACATGAGCTTTAAGACTCTTCAATTAAAATTATGTTAACAATGAGCAGGGTGTGATTTGTCAGTTCTCCAAGGGATGCATGCAATGGATCAGCATAATACCACATGCAAGTTTGTAAAGTATCTATTTAAGAAGATAAATAAATTACAAATAAGTCAGATAGAGGGGGAGAAAAGAACATATCACAGGCAGGTGTTTAAAACATCTCATTCAATTCTTGGTAAGGAAATTTCAGCGCAAGATGGCACTGCTTCATTTGATTTCTTTCCTCCTGTATCTTTGCCTTGCATTCTCACCCCGAGCACTTATTATCAAGGACACTTTATGTTTATATTCTTCCATAGTTAACACTATGTTCTAGGCCACTTCCCTTCACTAATTCATTCATTCATACTACCTATTTTACCTATTCATCTTGTCTATTGTCTGAACCCACAGCAGACTGGAAGCTCCATGGGGGCAGGGATATTATCTGTTTTGTCTTCCCCTGCTGAATATTTGATGTCTAGGAATATAACATGGCAACATTCTCACAGGACCACAGAAAGTAAAAAAGCAAGTCATGAAAATACATATGTGCTGTTGACAGTGGTAGTGGAAACAGTGTGCACACTACAGTGCAAATTGGATAAACATTAAAGGAAAAGGCTTGGGTTTACATCTCTCTCTCTCTCCACACCCCGTCCTTACCTCCTTCCCTCCTTCCCAATCTCCTTCCCGCCCTCCTCCCTCTTTCTTATTTTTCTTCACAGAATTTATATCACCTGATATTATATAGAGTAAATAGTCCTAATCCGAAATTCTGTGACTAGAAGTGTTTCAAATTTCTGATTTCTGTAGATTTGGAGTATGTGCACATATATAATGAGATATCTTGAGTTGGGATTCAAGTAAAAACATGAAAATCATTCATTTCATATATAACTTATACACACACATACACAGTATAAATATATACTACATTTTACATATTATTAAGAATATATATACTATTCCAAATAATTTTATGTATTAATAAAAATTTACAGAACTGTCAGATTTGTGGTATCATATCAGTGCTCAAAAAGTTTTAGATTTTTGAGCATTTCAGGTTTCCAGATTTGAGATAAAGGATACAGAATCCCCTAGTATATATTTATCTTTTATTATCTCTTAGGGTGTTAGAAAACAAGGATATCAGAAAGCCTACAGTGGAATGAGAGAAGGGATGAGCAGTGGAAGTCAAAGTCTCAAAAGATGTAGAGTCAGGTTGTCTAGGGCCTTGGGAGGTCACAATAAGGACGCTGAATTCTGTTCTAAGTGTGAGTAGAAGTCACTGAAGATTCTGAGCAGGAGAATGGTATAATCTGACCTATATTTTACATGGAATATTTAGTTTTGTAGACCATGGTGGACAAGAGAAACAGTGTGATCATTTAGAGGACTACTGCTATTGTCTTTATTGGTAAGGTAGTCTTAGTGGTAGCTGCAGAAATAGTAAAATAAGCTCTATGTGTAAAGACTGATTCAACTATACAGTAGAAAAAAAAAGAAATCCTGTCGTTTGCAACAAAATGGATGCAACTGAAAACCTTTATACTTAGTGAAATAAGTCAGTCCCAGAAGGCAAATACCATATGTTTTCCCTTATCTATGCCAATAGAGTACCTAAAAGATAATCAATAGATGTGAAATTGATGCTTTGTGATGGGATAATTTTGAATAGCCCTTGTCTTGACTGTTGAGGAGCAGTACTTTTTTTCCATACTATTTGCTGTACTCTTTACTTAGTGTAGCGTTGATCTTATGAGTATAAAATTAACTGAAAATAGATGTTTGTAAGAAATAAGACTGGGAATAGGAGAGGGAAGGAAGCATGGTGGGAGTATGGGAGGGAGTGAAGTAGGGAGAAAAGAATCACAGTGTTCTTAAATTTGTATATATGAAATGCATGAATCCTGTATACCTTAAATAAAAGGTTTTCAGGTTTAAAAAAAAAGGCAAAATAAAAACTTTAGACAGACCGTGGCTTTTTCTAAAACAAAAACAAAAACAAAACAAAACAAAAAAACTGGTTCACCAAGATTGATTCATGAGTTGAATGTAGAGTATGAAAGATGATTTCTTCCAGGTGATATTTAGGTTTTAGTCTCAGTAACCCTGAATGATGGTGCCATTTATTAGTTGAAGAAGCATAAACACTCGTATGTCTCTTAAAATTCATTCCTTTCTTAATTTCTATAGCATTCCATGTCTCCACTCTCCTTAGGTAATTTATTCTTTTTCTGTCTACTCTGAATACCTCAATGAAACTATTAAAATTTCAAGTATTTAAACTATTCCATTTTATGGATTCATCAGCATCAGGAACCCTTGGCTCCAGTCTCTTTCCTAGCGAGCTCATGACACACTTGAATACTCTGTTGAAACTTCAAATCCTCACTCCTACCTTTGTATACTTAAGATTCTTCTCATCAATTCTCCTTTTCCTGTTTACAGCACCATCTTTCTTG